CCGCAGCCCTCGACTGCTGGGCTCTGGCGATCCTTCTGCCTCAGCCTTCCAAGTAGCTGGAACTACAGGCGCACGCTACCACGCCCAGCTAATTTTTTTGATTTATTGTAGAGATGAGGTCTCGCCTGCCCAGGCAGGTCTCAAACCCGCGGGTTCAGGCAATCCTTTCTTTTTATTTTAGTATCAGCGCCCAGGTCTTACTACAGCCCAATTAAATAAAATATCTGTAGATGAGGACAAGGCATGAACATTCTTAGAATTTTCCACACAATATCAAGTGCAGCCAGGGCTGAGAATCATGGTGCTAGCAGAGTCTTCTTCAACTTTAATGTGTGTATAAATCCTCTAAAGATCTTATTAAAATGCAGTTTCTGATTTAGTAGGTCTGGGGAAGAGCCCTTGCAAGATTCTGCATTTCCAACAAGCTCTCATGGGATGCAGTCACTGCTGGTCCATAGCCCACACTTTGAATATGAAGGGTCTATATAAAGCCAGATTCCAGGGGTGAGGGGATAAAAGCAGGTTTCAGTGGCTTTCTATGTTCAAACTAAGTGTCCATTATGGAGTTCCCTTTAAAGCTGGAAACGGGCTTCCTGGAAGAGTTACAATGAAAGGCTCGTAAGAGAAGGGGAAAGAACTTTTCTGTAATATGGAATTAGAAGCTTCCATATCTAAGAAATATTACAGGATTCATTCCCTATTATGCATTAAAGTATGTAGCACATAATAAAGTGTTCAATCTATGGTAACTGTGTTATTGTTTTTATTATTACCAAAGAACCCTCACTCTGTTCCCAAACCAAACAAGCACGTGCTTTCAACATCCAAAAGCCTGACCTAGCCCCACAAACCACTTTCATTCCCAGAGGACATGCCTCAGTCAGGAGTCAAGCACAGGTGGGCTTGCGTCCAGGGACTTTCATTACAGACACAACTCCTGGGACCCTGCCTGGTGTAAGGACACCAATGCCTTGCCAATGGTTCTCTCATTCGTTTTATTTATTTTCCTTGAGTTTCCCGCTGGTTGTGTTTCCTGATCACGGTTAATGGTGAGTATTCGTGCTATGTGGGGATATGTCATAAGAGCTTTACTTGGTTTAACTCATTATACCCTTAAACAGCTCAAGGCCACAGGTATTATTAGCCCCAGTGGCTGATGAAGAAACTCAGAAAGGTGAAGAAGCGTGCTCTAAGCCACAGACATATTAAGTAATAGGGCCAAAACGCAAACCAAGAAGGATATATTTCAGAGCCCAAGCTTTCCCAGTGCTTCTCAGACTTTAATGGCTAAGTGATTTCGTTAAAATTCAGGTTCTCATTCATCAAGAAAGGAAGAGCCTGAGAGTGTGCATTTCTCACAGACTTGCAGGTGATACTGATGTGGCTGACCTGACGACAGCATTTGGAGTAGTAAAGCTACTCATGTGCTCTGGTGCCTCCTGAAATTTCTGAGTATCTTCCTTAATATCCCCTAAAAACTCGTGCCACTGTACTCCTACACTTAGTGGTCTGTTGATTTGATGAGTAACAAAAATCACAGTAAATTTCCACTTTGTTCTGTTTAAACTTCTGCTCAAATTGCAATATTTTGTGGCAAAGGATATCAGCTATTTGGAAAAGCATTGTGTCCATTATAAGTTGTAGAAGTTGTGGCTTGTAAAGAAATTGCTTTTAAATGTAAGTGTCACAACTGAGAATGATTTCTGGGCCAGGAAACAATTCCCATCTCTAAAGGCAAAGCGGAGGGTTCCAATTTGAGAAATACAGCAGCAGTGGGGGAAGGGGAAAGGGAATTTCTTAAAACACAGAAGTGAATCATGTAACTGTAAGCTTTTCTTCTCAGCTCACCAGAAGAGAGGATGTATATAGAAACCAGAAGAAATGACAAATCTTCCTGCCCAGTGAAGGGTATTTAAGGGCAAATCAAGACTGTCCACCTAATCAGTTTGGATTCAGTGGTGGGGAACTAGCTCACTTTTCAATGAGACAGAGAAAATTCATGAAAAAAGGGGAGAAGACACACAACCAGGGGTGCTTCGGGAGTTCCAGAGTCGCAAGAAGCTTCTGGAGGACACTGACTTCAAACTATAATCTTTAGGAAAACCAATATGCCCTACCCAAAGTTGGTGATAATACCAAAGTTAGATTAAACAGTAACCAATGATCATAAAGATTAGATACAATGGTGCTATTATGCAAGTCCCATAGCCCAGTGACTCTCAAACTTTGCTCAAAATTAGAATCACCTGGGAAGCTTTAACAATTTCCCGATCTTCCCACCATTATCAGGCCACAACCCCACATAAGTAAAATCACAGTCTCTGGTGGTAGGGCCCAAGAACCTTAATTTTTGAAGCTTCCCAGATAATTCCAATGTGTAACCAAGTTTGAAAACGACTGGCTTAGGCTTTCAGTATGTCCACTCATAAAATGAAGGAGTCCTTCTGGATCAGTGACTCTTCACCCTGGCTGCATATTAGAATCACCTTAGGGGGATTATTAAAAATACTAATGTGCCGGGCTCGGTGGCTCAGCCTGTAATCCCGCGCCTTTGGGAGGCTGAGGTGAGTGAATTGCCTGAGCCCGCGGGTTCGAGACCCGCCTGGGCAGCGAGACCTCATCTCTACAATAAATCAAAAAATCAGCCGGGCGTGGTAGCGCATTCCTGTAATTCCAGCTACTTGGAAGGCTGAGGTGGAAGGATCGCCGGAGCCCAGCAGGTCGAGGCTGCGGTGGCCGGGAGCGGCCATTGCGCTCCAGTCTGGGTGACAGAGTGAGACTCCAACTCAAAAAAAAAAAAAAAATACTAATGTGATGCCAGCACCATCCCTAGAAATTCTGATTGATCTTTAAAGCCCAGACATCAGCAATTTTCAGAGGTCCCCAGGGAATTCTAAAATGCCCCCAGGTGGAGGTCCACTGGTCCAGATGTTTTTGCAAAGATTCTATTGCTTGCATTTTAAGAATCTATGGTATTGAAACTGAAAATGCATCTTAGAATTTTGTAAAGGTGGAGCCTTCATCTTTACCTTTTATCAGAGATTTCTAACTTTGGAGGAGTTTGGATGAATCCCCTTAAATCCCCACCCAAACTGTTGGATGAAAATGAATATTTATATTTATGTATATATGTGGATATATTTTCAGGGGAGAATGTCCTCAGCTTTTATTAGATTCTCAAAAAATATTTAATACTACTATCTTAAAACCAAATATGTATTCTGTGACTTACTAAATTTAAGAAAATTTAAAAATGAGTAGAATATGTTTGATTTCAGCAGCACCTTTGCTATAGTTTTGGAGTTGGGACATATCAACTGCTACCTAGTAGCTGTATAGTTTTATTGCAGAGATAATACAAATACTTCTAAGATTCCTGTAAGAATAAATAAGAAAATATGTGTAAAATGGTCAGCATGTTTTTTGGCACAGATAAAGATGATATAGTCCATCCTCCAAAAATCGTAGGGTGATAGATGTGAAGATTTCAGATCCAAGCATAAAAGTTGAAGTTATCTCTGGGACTGGGATCAGTACTAGGCTATCTGGTAACCCTCACAATGAGATATGAATTCTCAAGAAGTATTTGTAAGGAGGCTGTCCACTCAGATATTTTACATTCATGTTCTCTACTGGGTAAGGGTATTATGGTTTTCTACTCCTGACTGTTGTTAACTATTTGCCTCGGTTTTAATCCTGATTTTCTTTCTTACTAACCACGTGACCTTGGGAAAGTTACTTAACCTTTCTATTCCTCATATAAAATAGAGATAATATAAGTATTTCTAAGATTGCTGTGAAGAATAAATAAGAAAATATGTGTAAAATGGTCAGCATGCTGTTTGGCACAGAGCAAGATCCCAATAAATATTTAGGTGATATTACTGTTATTACTGATGGTTCCATTATTATCAACATCTCAGTACCTTGTTCAAGTTACTAAACTTCCTTGAGCTTTATTTATTGATCCATAAGACAAGGGAAATAAGTCCTGCCATTTTTTTCTCACAGTGGTATAGTGCTGTTAAAGTAAAAAAAGTAGAAAGTATATTATCATTATATGGCAACTCATCATACATCCAGAGAATTTACAGAGCATAAGAAAGGGTCACCTGAAAATACAGACATTAATTCCCATCCTCAGGGAGTGCTCTTTGAGACTCCAACTTTTGAGCAGGCTCTACATCTAGGTGCAGTAATTTCTTGTCACATAACTAGCATCGTAGGCAGCCTAAACTTTCCCACCACATGGGCAAATGGGAGCCCATACTTCTTCATGGCTGCTGCAAGCTCCCTTTCAGGTATGAGAATTATACCATCCACTCACTAAATCACAGATGCCAGAAACTGCTAGCCCTCTTCCAGCCCAGGCAGCAATCTCTCCCATTCCAAACTATCCCCAGGGAGACAGTCCCCAAACTCTTTTGCAAGCCTGTGTGTCCACCAGAAAGCCCTTCATCACACCATGATCACCACCTGTCTCACTGGAGCAGAAACATCCTCGAAGCCTCTCACCGGCCTCAGCAAAGATTCAAGGCACTCAGCTCTCACTTACCTGGAGTCTGCTTGGCTGTACGCACAGGGGTGTAGTGGTTTTTGGAGGACGATCTGACCGGCGTATTCTCTTTGGGAGAGGTATCGATAGCCGAGATAGTTTCTCTTTCACAGTGTGCTATGGGGATTGGTCCCTGTTGTCTCAAGATGTCAGCCAGAGCCCTAAACAAGGAAGAAATCACACAGTGAGATTCACTGAGCAAGTGAGCACAACCACAAAAGGAGCCAGCGTATTTTCATAGGCCCTTTTGATTTACAGAGTTTCTGGAAGAGACACAGACACAGTGTTCAGTTCTCGATAGTCAGCTGCATCTGGTGCTGGTCTCTGTGGGGACACAGGGTAGAGATTACCATGCCTGGGGGTATAGACGCTAAAAGGCTGCAACTAAAATTTCTTTATGTAATTCATTTCACATCAGTGAACTCTGAGCCCTTTCAAAATACTAGTTTTTCAAATACCCACCTATGCCAGGCAGATATCTATAGTAGCCAGCCAGTGGAATGCCTCTACGGTGAAGGGCTGACACAGTTGGCCTCAAATTCAGCAGTAGGTTACTAATATCAGGGGATCATTTCTCCATCCAAAAACATACACCAAGCAGCATGTACTAGATACTGGAGACCCAAATAAGTACAACACACAGGCCCTTCAGTCAAGAAAAGGTGTGAATTTAGCGGCAAAGACAGAACACAGAGATAAAAAGATAAAAATCAGAACACATGGATGGTGCAGACAGTGAAGGCAACTGGAGTTTAGAGGTGGGAGCAATTACAAATGGAAAAAAATACACAGAAAGAAAGAGACAGGCGGAGACTCTGTCACAGTGGGAGAGACCCACCCCCTTGGCAAGAGGTCTGGTTGCCCAGAGAAAACAGCTTTTATTAACTCAACACCTAGCTTCAACAACCAAACATGCATTTACTGAGGACTCAGCATGCATCAGTCACTGCAGGTACAGAGATAAATAGGACCCAATTCCTGACAATTTAGGGGGAACCACTCATCCACCTGGTTTCAAACAGGACTTTCTCTGTGGGTGTGACTCGTGAGACACCCACTGGCAATAAGAAACAGAGACTCCCAGGGATGCTCAGAAGCACAGACAAGTGTGGACAAGCCACAGAAGACCATATCTGGATATTGTCACTTCAGTGCCAAGTTTCCAGTTTTCAGTGCACCCATGTTTTGCACAAGCCAAGTTATCTCCCCGGGGTGTTTTTGAGGGGTTGGGCCTGCCCATCTGAGATCTGGCCATTTCCAGACCACCCTGAGGCTTCCTTTGCACCAGGAGTCCAACTTTAACACTCTGCCCCCATGAAAAGTGACATCCATGGCAGTTTAAAAACGTGTCTGAGAGTGAATTGTTTTCTTCCACTACGCCGCCTCTGACATGCTAAATCTTCCTAGGAGAAGAGCATCAAACTGGTAATCTTATCATTTAGTGGCATTTATACAGCAATTTCAGATTTTCCAAATGCTTTCCCTTCACTGGCTCTCTTTTCTCTCAGCCTGTAAAGGAAGGAGCAGACATGTGCCACCACCTCCATTCACATCAGTGGAACAGGCAGACAGGGAGAACACAGAAGTACTGGTCTGGTAAAGTCAATCTGGGCAGACATAGGGTCCAGGTCCAACACCCAACATTCAGGTATTTTTTTAACCACCTATCCATGCAAGTCACCTAGGTACCTTTAGTCCTCTGATTACCAAAGACATATTTATAGCATCTTTCCATCTACCAACTTACAGCAGTGAGTTGTAAGTTACAACAGACATATAGGCCAATGGAACAAAACTGGGTGTCCAGAAACAAACTAATATACCTATGTTCAATTGATTTTTGATAAGGGCACCAAGATCATTCAATGGGAAAAGAATAGTTTCTTCCACATACGGTCCTGGGACAACTAGGCATTCACATGCAAAAGAATAAAGCTAGATACTTACCTCACATCATATTAAAATTAACTAAAAATGGACCACATATCTAAATATTAGTCCTAAACCTATAAACTCTTAGAAGAAAATATAGAAGTAAATATTTGTGACCCCAGACATGGCAATGGTTTTTTAGATACAATATTGAAAGCATAAGCCACAAAAGAAAACATAGATAAATTTAAAACATTTGTACATTAGAGGACACCATCAAGTGAAAGATAATTCATGGAATGAGAAAAATATTTGCAAGACACATATCTGATAAGAGACTTCTATCCAAAATACATAAATAAATCTTACAACTCAACAATAAAAATTTTTCAAAGCCAAACAACTCAATTTTTAAGAAGGCAAAGGATTTAAATAGGCATTTCTCCAAAGAAAGTATGCATGAAAATTGGGTCAATATCATTAGTCATTAGCAAAATGTAAATCAAAATCACACTGAGGCAGCCCTTCATACACACTAGGATGGCTATAACCAAAAAGTCACATAATATCAAGTGCTGGCGAGGATATAAAGAAATTGGTGCTTTCATACACTGCTGCTAGTAAGAATGTAATATAGTGCCACTTCTTTGATAAACAGTTTAGCAGTTCCTCTAAATGTTAAACATAGAGTTAACATACGGTCCAGGAACTCTACACCTAGGTAGTCCCAAAAGAAATGAAAAGATGTGTTGTATTCATGTACAAAGCTTCATCGCACCAGTATTAATAATAGCCAAAGGGTAGAAACAACTCAAATGTCCATCGACTACTAAATGGATAAATGAAATGTGGTATAGTCACACAACAGAATATTATTTAGTCATAAATAGGAAAGAAGTACGGGTACATATAACATGGATGACCTTGAAAACAACGTGGAAAGTGAAAGAAGCCAGTCATAAAAGACCACATTTATATAAAATGCCCAGTTAGGTAAGTCCATAGAGATAGAAAATATATTTGCAGTTACCAGGGGTTGGGAAGGGGCAAGCTAGTAGTGACTGCTAATGGATGCAGTTCCTTTTTGGGAGGATTAAAATGTTTTAGACTTGCCGGGCTCGGTGACTCAGCCTGTAATCCCGCACCTTGGGAGGCTGACGTGAGTGAATTGCCTGAGCCTGCGGGTTTGAGACCCGCCTGGGCAACTTGGTGAGACCTCATCTCTACAATAAATCAAAAAATCAGCCGGGTGTGGTAGCGCACACCTGCCATTCCAGTTATTTGGAAGGCTGAGGCAGAAGGATCCCCGGAGCCCAGCAGGTCGAGGCTGTGGTGGCCGGGAGCAGCCACTGCATTCCAGTCTGGGCGACAGAGTGAGACTCCAACTCAAAAAAAAAAAAATGTTCTAAACTTGAGTATGGTGATAGCCGCTTCACAATTCTGTGAATATACAAAAATCACTGAACTGTATACTATAAACATTAAGGGTGATTTTTACGGTAGGTAAATTATATTTCAGTAAAGCTATTACTAAAAAAGTACCTACTATTTTTCTTTCTTTGTCTTGCCTAAGTATTTGTTTTGCTTTTTGTTTTTGTTTTTGTGTTTTTTTGAGTAGGGGTCTCATTCTGTCACCCAGGTTGGAGTTCAGTGGCATAATCACTGCTCACCACAGCCTTGACCTCCTAGGCTCAGGTGATCCTTCCACTTCAACCTCTCCAATAGCTGGGACTACAGGTGCGTGCCACCACACCCAACTAATTTTTGTACATTTTTGCTAGAGATGAAGTCTCACTATGTTGCCCAGGCTGGTCTTGAACTTCTGGGTTCAAGCAATTCTCCCACCTCAGCCTCCCAGAGTGCTGTAATTACAGGTGTGAGCCTCTGAGCCAGGCCCAAGTTCTTACAGACACCTACTTCTCTAAAGCCTGTGAGGGAGAGTGGAGGAATGTGGTTAAATCTATTGCCTTAAGGTTGAATCTACATCAGGGGTTCTCAACCCAGATGATTTTGTTCATCTGGGGCCATGCAGCAAGTGTCTAGAGACATTTTTGGTTGTCATAACTGAGGAAAAAGATGGTACTAGCATCTAGTGGGTAGAGGCCAGGAGTAGTGCCCGACATCCTATAATGCACAAAATGACTCCCACAACAAAAAAAATTATTGAGCCCAAGATGTCAATAGTAGTGAGGATGAGAAAGCCTGATCTATGTCTATATAGTACTTGACAAAGCAGGTTTTAATACTCAATGCAATCTAGTTCCACAAATATCTACTGAGCACCAGGCCGGGCTATAGGAACAAGTAGTTTTGGAGGTACTAAAAAAGAGCATCTGAGAGGAAGGGAACTTGTCTGTTTATGGCATTAATACATTCTCAGGTCTTGACACTCTACCCAGACACTGTATCAACAAAGAAAGAAATGAAGATGGTCCCTATCCCAGCCTCATAGGGCTTTCTGCTCAGCATACACTCACCCACACTGACAGTTTAAATGGCAGATCCAGAGTAGATTGGTACCAGAGACCATTCAATGAGGATACAGCAGAGAAGAGATTTTTTCCAAGTGAGTTTCCTTTCCCAGAATGCAGAGACTCTCAATACCCATCCCCTGTGAAGCCCTGCAGGACACAGGCACTATCTGGGCCCCTGCTGGACAGCCACCATCCTGACGTCCATCAGACTTGAGGATCCCAAGAATCTTAGGACAAGTATGCCGCTGGAGAATGAGTTTTAATTGTGGGTTAGAACTATGTTCTATCCTTCTGTTCCCAGGACATGTGAGAAAAGAAGGAAATGACTTGCACCATACAATGTGTCCCCTTCTAGGAGAGGGCTTCAGAAGCCCAGTAGGCTGGGCTGAGCTGGGCAACACAGCCAAGGGGGAGAGATGTGCAACAAAAGGTGTTTTTCAAACAAGAGCTGCCCAACAGTTATCTGGGAGCAGGTAAGGAATGTGGTACCCAGGGAGATACTCCTGGGCTCCCACCCATGCCTGACCATTCCTCACGATCTGATCTTTCCTTTCCCAGTGCCCTCTGGCAGCTAGGAAGGCAGCCCTCATTCCTAGACCATTTGACCTTAGGAGCAGTCCCTCTGCCAGCTCCCCCTCCCCTTCCCTCAGCTTGGTGACCTCCCTCCTTGCTCTGGTTCCTCTCCATCTTCCATCCTCTTCTCTCCAGGGTGCTCAATAAATATTATTCTAATTCTGAAATGTGCGATCCTGGTCTCACCTAATTAATTTGGATGCGCCAGAGGAAATGGGTTAAGGCCTGAGCTACTTTTTAAC